GATTTTCTAACTTATCCGACCCAATCACTAACCCGCCCGGAAAACATAAAATCTCAAATCTCATGAGGGAAATTATTTTTTCGGCCATTTTCATTTTACTTCCTCCCTATTTATTTAGTGAACACTGATTTATAATTTTTTAAAAAGATAGCTTACTGCAACAAGTAAAATAGATATGATAATATATTTATACTCAATTTAAACTCTATTTTCTAATATTAAAATGATATAATAACCTTTGGTGACTCATTTCAAGACCCCAAGCTAACTCAGTAAGTTGTTCACTTGTCAAGGTGCCGCCACTACCAAACACCACAAAGAGAACAGAATCAGGCGGCTGATTATCCAACCACGCCAAAATCTCAGCATCCTTTTCTGTAATGACTTCATCTTGTTTGATCAATGGCCCTATAGTATGAATAGGCGGAATTGGTATATTTTGGAAAAATGAATTTTCTTTAAGAGCTTGAAGGGTCACTGGTTCAAGATCATCCCAACTGTTGACAAATATTCCGGCGGCCAATGGTAATCTGCTGACGTGAAGTAAATACCATTTGTACTCATCGTTTTTCCTGTCTTTCACCTGTGGAGACAAATTCAAAATTTAAATTTTAATCAAGTTAATAATGTCCTTTAATTTTTATTCATTAAATTCATCATACATTTGAAATTATGAGCTCATATTAAGTTTTCATAGACTAATGACGTAAGTATTTTTACACCAACGAATATTAATTAAGTTAATCTACAACAACGGATAACTTTTCATTAGATTTATGGTGAGATAAAAGGATAATCCGATGTACTAAGCTCTCGCTATACACGGGGTTCAAGAAAGGGCCGGACCACAAGGGTCTATTGTAGGTAGTCTTACCCTGCATTTTTGCAAGAGGCTATTACTACTGCTTGAACCGGTGACCTCCTGGTCACATGGCAACAACTTTACCAGTTATGCCAAGGCTCCCATTAAAAAATCCTAATAATGAGATAAACCTTAAAAATATAGTATACATATAGTAGCAACATGTTGTAGACCGGGTGCGAGCCCTAGACATGAAAAAATCCTTGGTTGGGATGAAGCCTTACACGATGTAAATCCGGATATCGTCGGGCTCCAATACAGGTATGGACACTGGGTGGAAAACCAAAATAAAAAAAAATGTTGTAGTCAGTTAAACTGTAGTAACAGCGTAATAAAATTGTGCACCTTGTATAAAATTCATTTAATATTCGTTAAATTTTTAATTATTTTCCGATATGAATCTCAATGTACCTGGTCTAGGAGGTCGTGAGGGCATATTGGATTGCATCCAGGAGTTTGAATATGTTGAGGAAGGTCAACGAACTCGCCGTTGACTTCCCGGTCTAGCGTCGGGAGATACAAAGAGAAAGCCATCAAAAGAGTAGAGGCAGTGAAGAAAGAGTGAACAGGAATTGAAACCTCTTTGCAAATCTCAAAAGCGTCCGTACAGAACAAATCGATAATCAAAGCTTTAGGGCGGTGTTTTATTAGAAGTGAGGAGAGGTATTGTTTGAGTGATTCGCGGACTATAATAGAGAGGCGGGTGACAACTCTCATATCGTCGGTGAAAAATGAAGAGATGTTTTCCACCGGCGGGATTTCGACGGCGTGGAAACCGGCGGGGAGGTTATCTGATAGGAAAAGTTCATTTTGTGCGGCGGAAGCTCCGGTAGTGATGACGAAGAAGCTGACGTGGAAGCCGTGGTTGATGACTAGGCGTTTAGCGAACTCAAAGAGTGGGATGATGTGTCCCATGCCAGGGCTTGGGAGAAACGCAAAGTGCGGCTTCTCCTTCTGTTCAGCAGTGGCCATTGTTGCAGATTTGTCCATTAAAGGAACAAATGAAACTCCAAAACAATGAAAAGAGAATATGGTATGGTAACTGGAAATGATATGTGCTTTATATAGAGAAGTCAGTGTGAAGTTATTCTTCAGAATTTTGATGATCAGAATATTATCTTCTTTTTTCTGATAGTGTTGTGCGATTTGTTTAATCATTCGGTATTCAAAATTAAATTAGATATTTAGATACACATATGATATGATATTTCTACTTTGTAGACTATATATAAGAGCGAAAAATATTTCAATCTTCCACCCATCACAGCCTAAATCACTCGTGTTAGGCGGCCTAAATCAAGATTAGGCTGTTAGCACATAAACAATGTGTTGCTCGTGTAATAATGGGTCATCAATGTTAGGTGTCCTGACAAGAGACAAGATTAAATCATACACCAAAGTTAAGATGTAAAATTAATATTATAAAGACATCACATAAACATAACTAGGTAGATATAAAGAGATAAATTAAAAGATTAAATAATAAAATAATAATAAAAAAGTGATGAATAGTAATGAGGGAGATGAATAGTGTACCCCCATATTTGAGGGAACACTATTCATCCCCCATTTTGGGGACAAAAAATAAGGGAGGGTTGGAGCTAAATTACCCCAAAAATTGCCCCGGGAATGGGGGTAAGGTTGGAGATGGCCTAAAGTTGATGCTTCCCTTTCTCGGAAAAGGAAAGGCCTTGGGACTTTGGAGGGTACGTACTTTCCACATACAAGAAAATTAATGAGTTTAACTAATGTACATTCACGGTGTAATTTTTTTTACGGAAAAGGGCCTAAAATTATCCCTGTACACTTTGGCCAGATGCACAATTATCTTCCGTTAAATATTTGGCCCATCTGTGTCCCTGCCGTTACCCAATCGTGGTATCATTGCCCCTCTAGACCAACGGGACGTTAATTTAGCCTAATACAAATTTAGTTTTTTTGCTTTGCATATTGTGCCACATGTCTTAATTAAATGACCTAATTAATTTTTTCCTTTTTTACTAACCCTCCACTTTTTTACCCGACCCCATTCTTATATACCTACTTTTCACTTTCCCCTTTATTATACTTTAACTAGGGTTTTAACTGATGGGCATAATCGTGAGGAGGAGATTGGTTGAAAATTGATGTCTAGGATTCAATTACAACATCAAGGTTAGCAGATTTTATAATTCCATTTTTAATTTTTAAACCCCTTTATTCTGCGTCGGGTTTAGGGTTCTGAAAGATCTTGTTCTTTTTTTAATATTTATTTCTGATACAATAATCGTGTGAAAATGATAGTTTATTGTGTAAACTTTTGACTTTTATGAAAATCATCTCCCAACATTCAACGGAGTCCAAGCAATAAAATAGCTAGCAGCATTTTAATAGTAAAAATTTCTTCTCAACCCCAGCTGAGAGACTAGAACACTCAGATATTCTTTTTACGGGTAAAGATGTTAAAGATGACAAAAAAATTACCCTAAACCTAAACTTATTTCAAAGTTTATGAGATGGCCAGGAAAATTGAGTTGAGAAAGGAAAGAGGGGTTTGGTAAGAAAGGAAAGAGGTGATAGGCACATATATAAAAACACAATTCGCCCGGCGGGTCACAGGCACCCAGTCCAAATCATGTCACACAGAAGCAAGTATACAAGAACACATGTATATGATGGATAAGTATCAGATTTCATGCTCCTGGACTGGTATAATAACATGCTAAAGTGTAGGCATGTGCAATATGTGCTATCATAGCTCAAATTGGCAATTTATCACAGAAATAAGAATTATCAAGTTTATTCAGGAATAGCCTCTTCGTAACTTCAAACATGGCTCAAATAGTTCACACAATGAT